ACTATGATAATTGGACCTTAGGCCTAACTCAACCCCTAGCTCATGAGGTGAGGATCGCACAAGACCATATAAGGAGCCTAGGAAATCCACATCCCACCAATGTGGGACTCAATAATTCCATATAAGTTTGGGTATTTTGACCACGACGGACAAAATAATTCGAGACGAGATACGATTTGATTCACGAAATCAGAACCAAAACTAGGGTAAATTTGAAGAAAATAACATAACTTATCTTGGAAATCAATCCTTTACTTATCTACAACTTGAGAACAACAAAGAAATCCACATTTTACAAGTTATACGTAAGTATTCCACAAAATTTCTCAAAATTTAGAGTTATTTTTTTTTGAAGTATTTTTAGTCGGATCCCCGCACCCTTATCCGTACTAGTATTCGTATCCCTGAATCTTAGAATTTACATCTTGAAGGATCCGAAATCTAGATCTGCACCCGTGTCCAAGCAACTTAGCTTAATATCGTACACCTCCAAAACAAGTATGGTTTGGCACTTTCTGAAATTTATCTTGAGGACAACACAACCTAGAACCAAGTCAAATCCCGATCAAGATATACCAATTGAGATTTATCAGTATCAAAAAATAACATAGCGTTATCTACAAATAGTAAGTGTGAGACTCTCACAATGCCATGTCCCCCAACTGTTGCAGTGAAACCCCTCAAAAATACACCCATCACAGCTCTATCCATCATCCTACTCAACACCTTCATAACTAAGATGAGGAGCATGGAGATAATGGACCCCATGCTCAACCCTTTCGAACTACCAAAGAAGGCACACGAGTTGCCATTTACAAGTACCGAATACCTAACCGTAAAAATTCAGTGTTTTATCCACTTTCTCCATCTATGTTTGAACCTCAGCATAATGAAATCCAAAAACTCCCGGTTCACGTGAATATACACAAAATGCCTGGCGCTCCTTGCTTTTTCCTAGAATCTACCACCTCATTTGCCACCAGTGTTGCATCAAGAATTTGTCTTCCTTCCACAAAAATAATTTGTGAAGTAGACATTCTCGTCAAGGACCTTCTTTAGGCTATTAGAAAGCAACTTATAAAATTATCTTATAGATATTCTCACTAGACTAAGGGTCTATAATCCTTGATACTTGTTGCTCCCTCCTTTTTAGGATGAACCAAACCGTGAAAATATAGTGTTTGATCCAATCCCCAATCTATCGCCAAACCCCATCCTTAGCATGATAAAACCCAAAAGGTCTCAATTCACGTGGTCAACCTTCTCAAGGTCCAATTTACACCAAAATGCCGAGCTCTTCTATCTAGAATCTACTACTCTTTCCGTTTCAATTTATATGACACACTTTCCTTATTAGTCCGTTTAAAAAATAACACAGTTCTATATTTGGAAATAATTTAACTCAAAACTTTTTATTTTACATAGGTTACCCTTAATGAGAAAATTTTTATAGTCACACAAATGTCATTGTCTCACAAAGCTTTTACTCTTAAGCTTTTATGACTACAAGCTTCAAAAGTCTTCTTTTTTTTTCCTTATACTCCGTAACGAATCAGTTGACAGACCTAGACGCCACGAGGGGGGGTGTTAAGTTATCCCACATTAGTTTAGGATGGATTGTTTGTCTCCTTACGTGATCTTTGACAATCCTCACCTCATGAGCTAGCTTTTCGGGTTGGGTTAGGCCCAAGGTCCATTTTTTATATTCTCTCCGTGGTTGTTGTCCGGCATGGCCTCTTTATCAATTGGACATTAAGAATGCTTTTCTCCATGGCGATCTCGACGATAAGGCCTATATGGAGCAACCACTTGGCTTTGATACTGAGAGGAGTCTAGTGGTCTTGTTTGTCTCTTTTTAGCATTTGTTCGTCTCTTTTTGTCCATGGTTGTTGTACGTCATTGGCCTCTTTATCAGTTAGACATTAAGAATGCTTTTCTCCACGGTGATCTTGAGGAGAAGTTTATATGGAGCAACCACCTGGTTTTGTTGCTCAGGCGGAGTATAATGGTTGTGTGTGCAGATTGCGCAGGTCACTATATGGTTTGAAACAGTCCTCTCGAGCTTGGTTTGGTAAGTTCAGCACAATTATTCAGGAGTTCGGCATGACTCGTAGTGAGGCTGATCACTCTGTGTTTTATCGGCATTTTGCTCCTAATCTGTGTATTTATCTAGTGGTTTATGTTGATGATATTGTTATTGCTGGCAATGATCAGGATGGTATTACTAATCTGAAGCAGCATCTCTTTCATCACTTCTAGACTAAGGATCTAGGCAAATTGAAGTATTTTCTAGGTACTGAGGTCGCTCAATCTAGCTCAGGTATTGTTATTTCACAGCGGAAGTATGCCTTAGACATTCTCGAGGAGACTGGAATGATGGGTTGCAGACCTATTGACTCTCCTATGGATCCGAATGCTAAGCTTCTGCCTGGATGGGGGAGCCTCTTAGAGACCCTACGAGATATATGAGGTTGGTTGGCAAATTGAATTACCTCAGAGTGACTAGACCTGACATTTATTTTCCGGTGAGTGTTGTAAGTCAGTTTATGGATTCTCCCTGTAATAGTCACTGGGATGCAGTTGTTCGCATTCTTCGGTATATAAAGTCAGCTCCAGGCAAAGGATTACTATTCGAGGATCGAGGCCACGAGCAGATTGTTGGGTACACAGATGCTGATTGGGCAGGATCACCTTTTGATAGACGTTCTACGTCTGGATATTGTGTTCTAGTAGGAGGTAATTTGGTCTCGTGGAAGAGCAAGAAACAGAATGTAGTTGCTCGATCTAGCGCCGAAGCCGAATATCGGGCCATGGCTATGGCGACGTGTGAGTTAGTTTGGGTCAAGCAGTTGCTCAAGGAGTTAAAGTTCGGAGAAATCAGCAAGATGGAACTAGTGTGTGATAACCAAGCTGCTCTTCATATTGCGTCAAATCCGGTGTTCCATGAGAGGACTAAACACATTGAGATCGACTGTCACTTTGTCAGAGAAAAAATACTTTCAGGAGATATTGTTACAAAGTTTGTAAAGTCGAATGATCAACTAGCAGATATTTTCACTAAGTCTCTTACTGGTTCTCGTATTAGTTACATGTGTAACAAGCTCGGTACATATGATGTGTATGCACCGGCTTGAGGGGGAGTGTTAGTTTACAGATATGTATAGTGTAGTCTTGTCCCACATTGGAAGAGGAGTAATATCTCCTTGTAGTGTATAGCTATAAATAGGGACCTCTTGTATTGTATTTATCATCCAATATCAATAACATATTTTCTCCCGTGCCTTCTCACATGGACGTTAAGAATGCTTTTCTCCACGGCGATCTCGACGATAAGGCCTATATGGAGCAACCACTTGGCTTTGATATTGAGAGGAGTCTAGTGGTCTTGTTTGTCGATTGCGTTAGTCACTCTATGGTCTTAAACAATCTCCTCGAACCTAGATAGGTAAGCCCAACACAGTTATTCAGGATCTAGCATGACATGTCATGAAGCTGACCATTTTCTACCAACATTTTGCTCCAAATTTGTGCATTTACTTGGTGGTTTATGTTGACGATATAGTCGACACATGCAACGATTCAAGATGGCATCATTAAATTGAATCAAAATCTCTTTCAGCACCTCAAGATCAAGGATCTAAGTAGATTGAAGTATCTTCTGGATAGCGAGGTAGTTTAATCTATAGGGATTGTCATTTCACGACGGAAGTATGCTCTCAACATTTTTTAGGAGACATGAATGACAAGCTAGAGCCTTTGACACTTCTACGGACACAAATATTAAGCTTCTACCAAGACAAAAGGAGCCACCTAGTGATCCTGCAAGATACAGGTGACTGGTTAGTAAGTTGAACAACCTCACAGTGACTCGACTTGACATTGCCTTTCCTGAGTGTCGTAAGTCAGTTTATGGACTCTCTTGTGATAGTGGAATTCAGTTTTCCATATTCTTTGATATATAAAATCAACTCCAAGAAATAGATTATTTTTCGAGGATTAAGGTCATGAGTAGATCGTTAGATACATAGGCGCTTATTGAGCAGAATCAACTTTTGATAGATGATCAATTTTTAGATATTGTGTTCTAGAATGAGGTATTTGGTGTGTTGGAAGAGCAAAATACTGAATATGGTTGCTTGATTTAGTGTAAAAACAGAAGATTGAGTAATAACTGTGGCAACTAGACAACTAATCTGAATCATAGAGTTACTTAGAGAATTGACGTTTGGGCGAATCAATCAGATAGAACTTTGTGTGTGATAATGAACTTGAACTTCATACTGCATCAACCGTTAGGCCACATCCTTAGTGCACTACCGCACAGCCTTTAGATGTCATGAATACATCCAAACATAATGTATACTCCCTTACTTTCAATTTATGTGACATACTTACCTTATTAGTCCGTTTCAAAAAGAATGACATATTTCTATACTTTAAAACAATTTAACTTTATTTTCTTTTATCTATTTTACACTTAATGAGAAGCATTTATAGCCACACAAATTAAAAGTCCCACAAAAGCTTTTACCCTTTAAGCTTTTAAAAACACAAGTTTCAAAAGTCTATCCTTTTTTTCTTAAACTCCATGTTAAGTCAAACTACGTCACAAAAATTAAAACGAAGGGAGTACTTGTTTGCCTCCTTTTGAAAAGATGGGCTAGTGGGAACCTATATGATAAGAGCTTCACTAAGAGAAGTCCATTACCAAAAAGATGATTTGGCATTAGTCAAATCTTCATGGTCCACTAACCAATATAAAAGCAAGTGCAAATTTTGTTCTCTCAAACTTAAGCCTTCGGACACAAATTCATTAGCTAAGCCGGCTTTGTCACTGCATCATGTTTTTCTTTAGACAGCCCCTTGTCCCTTGAGAACTAGAACCCTTTATCAAGATATTGAATTGATAAATACAAAAGACATGAACCACATTCGACCTATGCAGTAATGATAAATCAATATAAAGGATGGATCTTTTTTAAAAGATACAAAGTGTATACCTTCTGAAAATCAATTCCTGGGTAGACAATATGACAATTTGATAGCTCCCTTATCTTTTCATCAATTGCCTAACAATAAATAAAAAAGAAAATAATGCAAGTCAATAATCTCTCATTTTTGGCAGGAATGATGCCTTACTCTACAGTACTGAAACGTAAAAGGCCCAGATAAGCCTCCATGTACCTAGTCAATTAATTGGTTGCATAACAAAGGGAAAATAAACTCGAAGCAATATAATTTATCTGCCATAGGGTTACAATAACTCGAGCCGAACAAAATTCTACATTATAGCCAGGTGCTTTTTTTTTAAGTTGTACACTGTTTTGCCACCTTGCAAGTTCAAAGGCCAACGTGAAAGTGAGGCTGGATACTCATGTCATCCCCAAGAGAGGAACTTTCAACTACCTTAGGTCAATAATCCAAGTAATGGAGAGATCGATGATGATGTCACACATCGTATTGGAACGGGATGGATGAAATGGATGCTCATGTCCAGTATCTTGTATGATAAGAACGTATCACCAAGACTTAAAGGTAAGTTATACAGAGTGGTGGTTAGACTGACAATGTTGCATGGGGCGGAGTGTTGGCCAGTCAAGAGCTCTCATGTCCAGAAGATGAAAGTAGCGGAAATAAGGATGTTGAGATGAATGTATGGGCATACTAGGAGAGATATGGTCCGGAATGAAGATATTCGAGACAAGGTAGGAGTGGCTTTAGTGATAGACAAGATGTGGGAAGCGAGGCTGAGATGGTTCGGGCATGTGAAGAGGAGATACATAGATGCCCCAGCAAGGAGGGTGAGAGGTTTTCAATGGCAGGGCTTAAGAGAGGTAGAGGTAGGCCGAAGAAGTATTGGGAAGATGTGATTAGGCAGGACATGGCACATCTACAGCTTACCGAGTACATGGCCCTTGACAAGAGCGTATGGAGGTCGAGAATTAGCGTAGAAGGGTAGTAGGTGGCCGAGCGTAAATCCTTCCTATACCAGTAGTTTTTATTACTATTCTCGTGTTTTCTTTCCTAGATTTCTATTACTACCTGATGTTGCTTCTGCTTTGGTTTTACTATTATCTTGTTGTTACTGCTTCCTTTTCTTCTTTATTACTGTATTCTTTTTTCAAAACTTGTGTGACTATGATTGCCTGAGACGAGGGTCTATAGGAAACAGCCTCTCTACTTGCACAAAGTAGGGGTAAGGTCTGCGTACACATTATCCTCTCAGACTCCACTTGTGGGATTATACTGGTTATGTTGTTGTTATTGTTAACACCGTTTTGCTACCAGTCGTACAACATGTTGGGGGACAAAATTTGACAAACTGCCAAAAGTAAATGTTATCAATTGTGAAACTGTGCATATCAGCTTATCACCTTTTTACTTCTCTAATATCATCCATCTAGAAACCAACTGTGCTGTGATTAGCAATATAAGTATGTCCTAACCACTAGCTAAATGACCCAAAGTTTGAGAGAAAATTATTTCTCTCAAACAGATAATGAAATGGTATACTTATTTATCTGAAGGCCTCTAAGCAACCCCTCCCCTCTCCTCCAACATTTCATCAGCAAAAGCGGAGATGTAGGTGAGGCTCAAAAGCAAAAAAGAATTTAAGTAAAAAGGTGAAACAACATAGACAACTGAAATTCAGATGACACCCTTCAACAATTTTCATCAAAAAAATATCACAAAAGGAAGCCTAGCCAGTGTCAGCAAACATCATGAAGCAAAGATATCAGTCTACCTGCCTTTGACGACGTATCATGGTAGATAAATCAGTATATGGAAGCTTTGGATCTATTTTGCATTCCATAAGAATTCCACCGTCATAATCTTTAATATACCTGGACAAGAAATTAGCATATATAGCAGAAAACCACAGTAATTCAAAACATCAAACAGAACTTTAAGCTTTTCTCTTTTTTATTTTTTTTATTTATTTATTTTCTTTATTTTTTATTTAAAAAATTGTTTGAGGCGGGTTGAGGAGTTGGGGTGGAAGAAAAGTCGCAGAGTACCCTATAGAAGCATATTGAATTAAGCCACGAAAATATCTTCAGGAAAGGTATTTGTTCCATGAAAGCTTTCTGTTAACTTACCCTTGCCAACGCTCTTTCTCTAAATAAATCTCTTTCGTGAATCCCTGCAAGCCATTATAAGAAGTTAAATCTTTCGAAAGACAACTAAAGAATGATAGAGCTTCCAAACAATCAAGAAAGAAGCTAACAAGTAATGCACCAGATGTTGTCCAAGATTAGGTAACTGATTAAAAGATCCTTCAAGAGCTAAACTGCAGATTTCCTCATATGTATGAAAGGACTTCGAACTTATCAGAAAAGAAGCATAATACGAGATTCAATTAACTAAATTTATTACCAACAAAAGAATCCAAGGGCAAATAGGACTATGCTTGCAGAAAAGGTGGTATGCCTCAGGTATAAGTATATTTAATTTTGGCTCTGCGGAGATGCTCTGAAAAACAAAACCTTGAAGCATTTTTTACCATATTGTTGCTAACCGCATTAACACCTTCTGTACAACATTTATACTGGTTGACCAATTTTTTCTAACACGTGGCCAATAAGTCGGGCTCATAAAAAATGATCTACAAGTTGTTCCATTATATATCTATCAAACAGCTCCTTTCCGAAAGTCAACTACACAAAACTTTTATCACAATTTTCTTAAGCGTAATGCAACAACTTGAAGATCATTTTTATGAGCCCGTTCAAATCTTCATCTGGTTCTTTTATCCTAAATTTTGATTTCTGAATAATGAGTAAAATATTGCAGGCAATAGTGATGATTGTCACCTCTTGAATAACGGAAATATAACATAAATGGTGAAAGGGAAACTCTGAGTTAGGTAATGCCACTATTTTTAACAGGCTCCTGAATAATTTATAAGACCCATAAACAGAGTACATTCATGTAAACATGAATTTGCTGAATTGACTGGTCAAGTCTGTTGCAAATAATAATACCACCTAAAAATAAGAGCCAATCTAGCACCTGTTTGACAAAGTAACCAACAGCATTGTTGTCAGCATATGTTAGAAAATGAGTCAGCCCATCCACATCACGAGCATGCTGCTTTAAGTGATTCATCAGTCTGGTGCCATAACCCTTAACTTGTTCATCTGCTGTTATTGCACAAAAAGCTATCTCCCCAAACTTCTGGCTACAGCATCAATAAAAAGAATTGCGTCAACAATTTATAGATAAACAAGATATGACAACTGAACATATTACACACTTCCTCCACTTCTTTTTTCTGGGAAAAGGTGTAAATCAACATATTAAACAATACCAACAACATACCCAGTGTTTTCCCACAAGAGGGGTCTGGGGAGGGTAGTGTATACGCAGACCTTACTCCTACCTTGAGTAAGTAGAGAGGCTTTTTCCCGATAGACCCTCGACTCAAGGAAAACAAAATCATGGCAGTTTAAAAAGAAATACAATAGCGAAGAAGACATAGAAAAAGAAGCGGTAACAACAGCAAGATAATAAGAAAACCAAAGCATAAGCAACATCAGTCATCAGGTAGTAATAGAAATCTGAGAATAAGGAAATTTGAGAATAAGACTAGTGCTACCGATAAGGAAAGGAAATACGCTTGACTGCCTACTAATATTCTACTCTAAGTAGGCGTTTCGACATAAATTTCAAGTTTTTTTTTTTTGGAATTTGGAATTTCACTAAAGTTTGATTGGAAGATGAAGTTATGCTTGGTTATAACTTTTGATGTGTATTTGGATGTATTTTTTCTCAAAACCATGAAACATGATTTATACCCCACAATTTGTAAAAACTATCAAAATCACCCCAACTTGGCTGTCCTACCTGAAACAAACAATTAAACCCGCTTAATGCTTAACTGCACTCATACCTTTTTAGTAGAAAAGATAGTGAAAGTCGATGAAACTGATTTTACTAAAGATAAAGAAAACTTGATAATCACAATGTAGAATTTTGTTGGCGAAGGTTTCTTCATCTCATTATCTTCTTACCGTTTTAACTTAGTTATAGTTTCTCTCAACTGTAGGCAATAACAAGGGAAAGGGGGTGTTTGATGGTTAGCTAGGGAAAGTGGGTGTTTGATGGTTAGCTAGGTATTTAATTCTAGTGGATAGATGGGGTTCTTTTACCGATAAGGAAAGGAAATACGCTTGACTACCTACTAATATTCTACTCTAAGTAGGCGTTTCGACATAAATTTCAAGTTTTTTTTTTTTTGGAATTTGGAATTTCACTAAAGTTTGATTTGAAGATGAAGTTATGTTTGGTTATAACTTTTGATGTGTATTTGGATGTATTTTTTCTCAAAACCATGAAACATGATTTATACCCCACAATTTGTAAAAACTATCAAAATCACCCCAACTTGACTGTCCTACCTGAAACAAACAATTAAACCCGCTTAATGCTTAACTGCACTCATACCTTTTTAGTAGAAAAGATAGTGAAAGTCGATGAAATTGATTTTACTAGAGATGAAGAAAACTTGATAATCACAATGTAGAATTTTGTTGGCGAAGGTTTCTTCATCCCATTATCTTCTTACCGTTTTAACTTAGTTATAGTTTCTCTCAACTGTAGGCAATAACAAGGGAAAGTGGGTGTTTGATGGTTAGCTAGGTATTTAATTCTAGTGGGTAGATGGGGTTCTTTTATAAATACCAAAAAATTGGGGTAAATTTTTAAAATCTAAAAGTTCCCAAGTTGTAGATTTTCAACTTGTTGAAAGCACTTTTTCAAATTTGAAAATCCATCCTAAGTTGGATTTGAAAAATTGTAAAATTTTCATAACCAAACATTGTTTTGAAAAAAAAATTAGAAAAAAGGAAAAAATATTTATGTCCAAGCGGGTCCTAATTCTCGACCTCCACACCCTCCTATCAAGGGTCATATCCTCGATAAGCTGAAGATGTGCTACATCCTGCCTAATCACCTCTCCCCAATACTTATTTGGCCTACCTCTACCTCTCCTTAGACCCAACATGGTCAACCTCTCACATCATCTCACTAGGGCATCCGTGCATCTCCTCTTCACGTGCCCGAACCATCTCAGTCTTGCTTCCTGCATTTTGTCCAACACGGAGGTCACTACCACCTTATCCTTAATATCATCATTCCTAATCTTATCTTTCCTAGTATGCCCACACATCCATCTCAGCATCCTCATTTTCGCTGCTTTCATCTTCTGGACATGAGAGTTCTTGACTGGCCAATACTCTGTCTCATGCAACATAGTCAGTCTAACCATCACTTTGTGTAACTTACCTTTAACTCTTGGTGGCACATTATTATTGCACAAGACACCAGATGCGAGCCTCTATTTCATCTACCGGACTCCAATAAGATGTCTGACATCATCATCAATCTCCCCAGTACCTTGGATTATAGACCCAAGATACTTGAAATTTCCTCTATTGGGGATGACTTGTGTATCAAGTCTCACTTACACATCCGCCTCATGGGTTATGTTACTGAACTTGCACTCCAAGTATTTTGTTCTGGTCAACCTAAATCCTTTAGTCTCTAGCGTTTGTCTCCAAACCTCCAGCCTAGCATTAACTCCGCCTCTTATCTCATCGATCATCACTATGTTATCTGCAAATAACACACTCCATGGCAATTTATCCAACACCAAGGCAAATAAAAACGGGCTAAGAGTTGATCCCGGGTGCAACTTCATCACGGCTAGGAAGTGTCTGAAGTCTCCTCCAACTATCCTTACCCAGGTCTTAACTCCATCATACAAGTTTTTAATCACCCTAGGTGTATGCAGAACGTACATCTCTAGCCTCCAAACATCTCCATAGGACCTCTCTTGGGACTTCGTCGTATGCTTTTTCTAGGTCAATGAACACCATATGCAAGTCGCTCTTCCTCTCCCTATACTGCTCAACTAATCTCCTTACAAGATGGATGGCTTCTGTGGTCAATCGCCCTGGCATGAAACTAAATTGTTTCTCGAAAATAGACACACTCCTCCTCACCCTCATCTCCACCATCCTCTCCTAAACTTTCTAGCAACTTGATGCCCCTGTAGTTATTGCAGTTTTGAATATCACCCTTGTTCTTGTACATCGTCAGTTTACTCCACCTCTATCCTTCGGGTATATTCGATGTCCTAAAAATGACATTAAACATCTCAGTTAACCACTCCAAACTTGCCCTGTCCACACTCTTTTAAAACTCCACTAGGATCTCATCTGGTTCGGTCGCTCTTCCCCAGCTCATATTGCACATAGCCCCCACAACCTTCTCAACCTTTATACGCCTACAATAACCAAAATCTCGACGGCTCCTGGAGTGCTCCAAATCACCCAGCATATTGTGTGATTAAAATCTACTTGTCACCTTCGTCTAAAAAAATTTACTCACTTTTGTTTAACCAATTTCTTTTAATGGGATCCCTTTTCCCTTGAATATTTTTTTCTTTTGAATATTAGACTATTTAAGTAGTAATATGGAACATATTTCTATTGCTATAATGCTTTAAGCTTATCAAAAATCACCTTTAAATTTAGTATTTTAGACCGTGTTATCTTGTTCAACTTCACCCTCAACCCCCATGCCCAATCAAATTAAGATAACATATTGGTACACAAGGATTAAGATGTCTACGCGATTAACTAATTAAAAATACATATGAAGCATTGAATCAAATAAGATATAATGGACTTAAACCAACTTTATGCAAATGTCTAGTAAGTATTGCTAAGTCATCACTTATCAAAAGAGAAAAGTAGTGATCGGACGTCTACAAAGTACTTATGGTTGAGAATATTGTGTATATTAGTTAGAATCAATTATGAAGATATTATTTATTTGAAATTATCTAGTTCTTTCCTACATTAGAACAAAATGTATTTGATATTTAAACATTCAATAGCTTGGGATAATGATTATGAAATACATTCTTCATTTCCTTCTTCCAAATTATAATTTTTAGAGCAATTTCGACTTTCGAGATATCAATCATTGTACTTTTAATAGGAAGAACTAAGAAGAGATTCAGTCACTGGCACTGCACACTTACCAGTGACCTCCGTAAAAAGAGAAACCATCGCCACGACGACCATCAAAGGCTGCTCTACATTTCGAAGGTGCCGCACATAAACCAACACCACATACATACTCGAAATCCGCCGGCAAGAAGAACTTGGAAAGCAACAACCTCATTAGAGTTGAGACGCGTAGGGATATTCTCTGACTTTTTCAGCGAGATCTATCTACATGCCGGCCTGTGTAATGTCTCCTCGGAACTTCCCGACAAGATCCTTTCTTCTGCTGGAGTTGCCTACTCATTTCAAGTCTTTTAGTCAGTTTACTGCTATAACCAAGGCACTAATCTACGGTTCGGCCAGTGCAATCTACTTTTCTGGCCATCTATCCTATGTTTGTCTGAATTCTTCAAAAAATATTACTGCACCCAAGTCTGGTCCTCCAAAAATAATAACTTTTCGAGGATCCGACACACATACGATGACATTTCCGAAGTATCCGAGCAAACATAGTATCTCTCTTTTCCGACATCTTTTCTGCCAATTTCTACATTGTGGGGTCACATAGGCCTTCTGAGGCAACCCATCACCTTTTCTTCAGTGTCCGATCACCAGAAGTACTTTTTCGTAAGTAATAATTTCTTTATTGGCAGATCTATCTTTTCTTCAGACAAATTTGCCTTTCTCTTTCACTCTAGGGTTTATCTAAAGCCTGTGGTTACATTCAAATTTCAAATTTTAGGTTCCGGCAAGTTCTCGGACATCAATAATATATTTCAAAAATAGAATCGGGTGATGCAAGATGTTAGATAATTTCCTTGTTAGGTTATAAGTAGTTTCTTACACACAAAAAGGCAAGTAAACAAGCATATTCATTAATCATAATTGATGTTCAAACTAGCAATCATGTTGCTAACATTTCTCATTCTTCTAACCCTAAACCTTGGGTCATGGACTCACGAGCCTCAGATCATATTATAGGTAGCAAATCGCTTTTCTCTTCTATATCTTATTCTCAATCTCTTCATATTCCCATATTAGCCAATGGTTCACAAACCATAGCAACTAGAATAGGCCAAATTATCCTATTTCCCTCAATAATATAAGAATCAGTTCTTTACTTTCCTGGTTATCATTTTAATCTCACACTCACTAATCACTTGTCTCAATCATTTAATAGTTCAGCAACCTTTCTTAATGCTCAATTCTTCTACAGGATTGCAATATAGGAAAGATCTATCAAGAAATAGACGTTGGGCCTATCTCAACCTTAACAGCTAGCTCATGAGAAGATTTGCCCAACACCATATAAGGAAACCAATTACCCCATCTACAACCATGTGGGACTATTCTAACATTACCACCACCACCACCACCATCCCACACATTCAGGACTGGACATTTGAAACGTGTATTATATAACATAAGGACCTAACATCAGGTAAACCAAGAAGTGAGATAGGTCTTGCTCTGATACCATGTCAAGAAATGGACCTTAGGCCTAACTCAACCTCAAAAGTTAGCTCAAGAGGTGAGAAATGGCCCAAGGTCCATAACTTATCATAGTATCAGAGCAGGCATAGGCCTTGAGTTCGAGAAGGCATAGGTCTTCAATTCGAGTCTCACTGTTACTCTATGATCAAAAAGAGTTTTCACGTCGCTGGCCCATGAAAATAAATTAAGCCGTATGTGAAGAGGCATGTTGAAAACATAATTAGATAAATAAAAAGGTGTTCTCTCTAACAATTTAAAATTTTAGATGAGATGGTCGCACAGTTAAACATCTAGGAAATCCCAATTTGTCTAAAGTTCAGAAAATAATTCCTGATTTGTCTCACTTGTCTACCTTAAAATGTGAGCGATGTCAACTTGGCAAAAATACTTGTTCTTTCTTTCCTTGTCATCCTGATAACCGTGCAAAGTCTCATTTCCCTTTGGTCCACTCAGATGTATGGGTTCTAGTCAAGTTACCTCTACTTTGGAGTTCTATTACTTTGTTAGTTTCATTGATGATTATTCAAGGTGTACTTGGATTTTCTTAATGAAAAATCATTCAAAATTATTTTCCATTTTCCAAACCTCTTGTGCTAAAATACAAACTTAGTTTGTGGATTCCATTTGCAGTATCGTATTGACAATGCACCAGAATATTTATTTTCCCAATTTCAACTGTGTGTAAACTCTAGTGGGATTATTCAGCAAACATCTTGTCCTTATATAAGTTATACCTTCTCAACAAATAGGGTAGCAGAGAGGAACAATAGGCATATCATTGAAATTGGTCACACCCAACTCATTCAATCACATGTTCCATTAATATTGTGGAGAGATGTGATCCTCATATCATATTATTTGATTAATCGTATGCCTTTCTCTATTATCAAGGATCAGGTTGCACACTTTGTTTTATACTCATGTTCAACTATATCTTCTCTTCCCCCTCTTTTCATTAAGAGCACGTGTTTTGTTCATAAATCTTATTCCTAGGAAAGATAAATTAGCCCCCATGCTCTCAAATATATGTTCCTTGGTTACTCTTACGGTTAGAAGGGATACCTTTAGTACTCACCAAACCTGTGTGGTTACCTTAGGTCAATTGATGTGACCTTTGAAGGTCAAAGGATGTGACCTTTGAAGGTCAACCTTATATCACATCTTCTTTCTCCGACTATTCTGACATCTCTCAAGCTTTATCCAAACCATCTTCAGAGATTCTATTTGCACTTCTTCTGCTCCCACATCAGTCTTACCAATATCAACTCTGGAAATCCTATTAGTATCCCTTCTTCGTCAGCATCACCACTTTCGAGTACTCTTTTGTCTTCTCTTTCACTCGCTCCTCCAACTTCACCAGATTGAAGTATTTCCTCTCCTCTGCATTGAGATCACTTGTCCAAATAGAGAAATGTCATCTCATAGCGTAAGTACGGTATAGACATTCTTGAAGAGACATGAACCATTGATACTCTTATGGATCCGACTAAGTTATTGCCAGGTTAGGAGGAGCCCTTTAATGATCTTCGTAAGTATAAGCAGCTAGTTGGTAAGTTGAATTACCTCACAGTGCCTTGACCTAACACTACCTTTCGGTGAGTGTTATAAGTTAGTTTATGGATCCCCTTGTGACAGTCATTTGGAGGTTGTTGTCCATATTCTTTGATACATAAAAATCAGCTCCAAAAAAAGAATTTGAAGATCAAGGCCATGAGCAGATTGTTGGATATATAGATGCAAATTGGGCAGGATCACCTTCTGACAGACAGAAAATTGGATGTTGTTCCTATTCTTCGATACATATAATGAGCTCTATGAAAAGGATTCGAGGATCAAGGTCATGAGTAGATTGTTGGATACACAAATGCAGATTGGATAGGATCACCTTTTGATAGAATATCTACTTTTGGACATTGCACCCTCCTTGGAGGTAACTTTGTATCTTGGGAAAGTAAGAAACTGATATGGTTGCTTGGTCTAGTATAGAAGCAGAATTGCGGCAACTCATGAACTAGTTTGGATCAAATAACTGCTCAAAGAAATAAAGTTTGGAAATCAACTAGATGGAAACTTGTGTATGAAAATCAAGATGCTCGAATGAAAAGAAGTTCAGCATTTAATTACTATTGGTCACTTTACGCAGTTGAGTGGAAAACTATTATTAGACGCTGCAAAAGCAAAATCTATTTGATACAAAGAATCACACAATGACTCCAACCTCTTGCTCCAGGAGTAGAATAATAAAAAGAACAAGACAATTACCTGGCATATGGACGATATGTTATACCACCAACCACCAGATTACGTCGGATGACCATTACAGACTTATGGCTCCTGCAACAAGTAGAAATGAAAAAGAGACTAAAAGTACTTTTCAAACACTTCAAACTCACAAGCTATTAGGTACCAAGAAAAGCTATATAAGGTCATCATGAGCATTTTCTTTTTCTTTTTTCTTTTTGTGATAAATCAAAAACCTTATGAATGAAGGTCATAACCCTGTTGTAGAAATGGTATACAAACAGAACAGAGCCTATATAAAAATATTATTCTCTACAAAGAGCATCAATCATCTACATTGACCACGATCCCATTGGTACTCTAAAATTTTACAAAAAGAGAAGGGAAAAAAGTGGCACTCTGATATAAATAGAGGAGTTCTCCATATGCCTAACTTACTGCCAATTCTGGCAGAACATCCTTGAATTCTTAATTTGAGAAGCTTATTTTGTCGAAACTCCCGAATTCCTTTTTCTCCACATTGTTCATATAATTGTCAAAGGATAGACTCCAAATCCCCTTCTCTTCCTTCCAATTGGCCAACTTTAAATTAAAAAAAGATCATTGCCCAGTATCCAGCACTACCCATTTAATGGCAAATAGGTTCCAAACTCTACCCCAATGTGATTGACTTGAAAAAAGGTAAATAATATCAAAAACCATGAATAGTGCATCAAACCATTGTTGGATTACTTCTCAAACAGTAAAAGTGGAAGCATGATATCTCCTTGAGCTTAGGTGGTCGGTCAGTACAATCTAATTTGAACTTATTCATAACTACATGTTAAAGGTTATAGATGGTAGCAAAATCGGATATTAAATTATCGCCATTGCAGAATGGTTAATCTTCTCTATAGAAACTTAACTAATACTGAAATACTTTGTCAGAGAATAAATCCTCATTTAATATATTGTTGCAACTGCCAAGAAACTTCTTCTTCAAAATAAAAGTGAACTATAGGTACAGCAAAAAAAGTGAACTATAACTAACTTATACACTTTCAACTTGGAACAATGAAGAACATGAACCACTCCCTCTTTGTCCAACTCTCTACTACATCCCTCCTCTTCCCTAATAGCCCGCATCAACTACTCCCCCTTTCTTCTCCTCTTTGACTGAACACTACCTCTCATAGCTCAGGTCTCCAACTCACCTCCTCACTATACAAAAATGTTCGTAAATACCGACCGCTCCTTTCACCTCCTCCACGACCTTAAGGAACTGCCAGATTCACTTCCATAGACTCTATGAAGCTCCTGCTCTTATTCACTACAGCTAGCTAAAAGAATTTAGTATTTGAGTCCCCTCCAACAACAATGCCATCAATTTTTTTCTCCAACTAGTCTTTGGATATTGCTCACATCNCCACGTCAAGAAAAATCAAAAATCTAAATACTAAAAGAACATTTCAAAATTCGCACCTGTCCATCACAAGACGAACAATATATTCCTTAGGCATGTTTGGGAGTTGCCTCGCAAATATATTCTTCAATCCTATTAACCTGGAAGAACATTTAGCAATTATTGGTAGCCTAGATAGTTCGCCTGCATAAGATTATATCTAACAGCATAAGATTAATATTAATACCAAATCATGTGCTCATCAATACCATCGTTTGAAACACATGCAAACTTGAGTCTTCCAGACTCCTCCTGCAAATTTTAAAGTTTAGTCGATATTAAATAAAAGGAAAAAAGTCAACAAATAAAGTTGAGAATTTGCTGAGAACCCATACCCAAAATTAGAAGTTGTAGAAACAAAAACTACATCCATAACACCCTTTTACATGATAGGACTCAGATATTCAGTTGCAAAGATTTGGAACCTCAATCCTAATAACCTCAACTTCCTCAAACAACATGAAGTTCCTAAAAGAAAAGACAACAGGGTAAGAATATCTCTCCCCGTCCAACTCTTACCACCAGGATAGCACAATTTGCTTTAGTGACAGATCTAATCACTTTATTCCATTCTAGAAATTAACATGTCTTTTAAATCACACCTCTCTTTCTCAACATCACTCTCTCACTGATAGTCAAATATCACCTCCTGTAGTTTGTAGTGACTAATTAGCTATCTCGTTTTATTCAGTTTTTCTTGTCTCGGGAATTGGACATATTGCATTGTCCAGTTTGGTATGACTCACTTGATCTTTTGTTTTCTCGTTGCTAAAAGAGTGTTTGAATTTACTTATGTATACCTTGTGCGAAAACTGTTCTTTTTTCCGTCTTCCATCAATTTCCAGTTTCCATTTCTTTTCTCTTTTTCCTTCTCAACAATTTTCTCCAGTTCTATAACAAGCCAAGAATACTGGATACTTCCACATCTTAAGGTAGTCCAACCAGAAAATTTAAGAAGAGCTAGTATCTATCTCGACTTGCAACATCAATTTCCTAGCAGGACCACATAGCCAAGAAGGAAGAGATACATGTAATGGAACGAAAAATTCAGAAATCATAAGATAGCAAATAGTAAAGTTGAGCAAAAGTACAAGTGCAAAATTTTAGAAACAACCACTGGCAGTAGTAGCCACCTTAAACATAAAGTTAGAGCGAGAGAGGAACAAAAATTCATGATTGATTGCAGTATCTTGAGCATGTTTGGTACTCTAGCTCAGGCGGGGTTGATTCCACTTGCACCAGCCACATCTCAGGCCGGGGAAGAGCTCAGACTCCCCCGGCCCGTACCCCAAAGCAGCTGGTCCATTTTGACCAGGTCCCAGAGGTTATACCAGTGCAGCCGGTTGTTCCAGTTCAGCCCGAGGTTAGGGCAGCAGCATCTGAGTACTGAACCTACCCCTCTCCACTGAACTCAAAGAACAATAAAGGGGGACGCACGCAAATCAATTTACCAAAAAGTTCAATGCCCAAGTTTAAATTTTTTTATTTGTTATTCATTACAAACGGACTTCAACCATTCGCATTATCTCAAACTGAATGCATCAATTGTATACCATCTGCTCAATGTGTCCTACAGAAAAAGGCAGGCATCACTTCACAATCAAAAAACAGGACATAGAAGCAGGAAACATACTCTTATACTTCAATTTTCCATGGAAAAATTTCCCTGTCGAAGATTATTTTCTAGAAAATATTTTACTTAAGTATCACGGCTAAATGAAGCAATGAGGTCAGCAAGGATTCATATAGCGACTCCCAACTTGTCAGGGACTGAGGATTAGTTGTTGTAATAATATTTTCAGGATATATTTTCATCATAATAAACACACTGTTACTGGATATATTTTCCCTCATAACTGAAAAATAGCTACCTCTCTCTTTAAGCTCTCTTCCCTTGCAGTGTAGGCACCACTGGTCTGTAAATTGTCAGTAAAAATGTTCTTCATACTCTCATCCTTAACCACCGCCCCTGAAACAGAACCAGCAGCAGCTGTAGGTGGCATTACACAACCCTCTTTCACTACCTCCGACGACTCAATTTTCACCGAATTATCACTCTTAAGCTTAGTATTCCTCCCTGACCCAGAGGGTGCACTATTCTCCAACCGCGACGCAGTGAAATTGCGCATGGAAGAGCCATCGTAATCTTCCTCGTCATCATCACCCACCTCTTCGGAGTCGTCTTCGGAATCGGAATCAGCACCGCCTCCGCGGGCGCTGATACTCTCTAGGTCATCGTTGGAGGTGAGAGCGCCGTCGCGCGTGTCGGAGAAGGAGGACGGGAAAGGCGGCGCGTGGTCGTCAGATGCCATCTTGCGTTTGTGGATCGACGAGGTTGCTGAGGCAGACGCCGAATGCGAGGGTGATGGAGATTGTGAACTCCGCGACCGGCCCGGCGCCGTCAGGTGGGATGAGTGAGCATCCATTGGTTCCAAACATTTTGAAAATCAGGGATTTTATTGAAAAGAAAAAGCCACTCTTTTACTTTATGATCAAAATGCTTCTTTTGTTAAAAAAAGAATAATAATAAAATATGTTTCATTACAAGATTTTATTATCTAGATTGCTTAAGCTCCGCCTAAGATGCCTCATTTGTCTTTTTTAATCAAGAAGTCTCAATCTTAATACATATCTCAATATCAAGATGTGTATTAAGATTAAGACATCTGAATCTGAATACACATCCAAATATTAAAATGTGTTTTAAGATCTGAATACTAAATGATTAAGACTGCTTATTTTTTAAACATCTGAATATATAAAAATTATCTTTATTTAAAATTTAATAAACATAAATTCAACTACAATACTAATTAATCTAATATTCTATCAATAAATTCAAATACAATACTAATTAATCTCATATTCTATCAATAATATAGTAGTTGGTGGTGGTGATGGCTAACGGAAGTCTTGTGAGTGCCGAATAGAGGCAGTGGTTGATGGTGATTTTAGTTGATGATGGTGGTTCTTGGTGGTAACTAGTGGTGATTGGTAGCAATAGCGATTATGGTTGAGGATGGTGGTGGTGGGTGATGTTGGTAAATAATGGTGGGTGGTGGTTGTAGTTGTGATTGAGGAAGGTGATGGTGGGTAGTGGTAGTTTATAATGGTGGGCGGTGCCGGTTGTGTTTATTGATGGTGATGGGGTGGTTGGTGGTGGTAGTTGAGGTGGGTGAGTATCTGGTTATGGTTGAGGATGATGGTGGTGGGGGTGATGGTAGTTGAGGTGGGTGAGTATGTGGTTATGGTTGAGGATGATGGTGGTAGGGGGTGGTGTGTGGTGGTAGTGGCGATGACTATGATTGAGGATAATGGTGGCTGTGGTGTTGGTGGTGGTAGTTTATAATGGTAGGCGGTGGCGGCAATTAGTAATGAATGCGGATAATAGTATCTTAATGAAATTAAGTCTTTATTATAGATCTTAATCATACAGACCTATCAGACCCAATAAGTGGTTGTGAAGTAAAAAAACAAACATGCTTAATGATTAAAATCTCAATGATTAAGATTCAGACTTTAAAAACAAATACAGTTAATGTCTGAGATCGGAATGACTAAGATTCTAAACTCCATTAAGTGCAAACAAACGAGGACAAGACCCTTTCCTTTTTTCTTTCTTTTTCTTTATTTTTTTTTTGTTTGTCATTTTCAATTTTATTGTTATTTTTTTACTTTTTGTGTTTTTCAATTTTATTGTTATTTTTTCAATTTACTTTTTCTTTCTAATATAATATCTCTCTTTTTTAGTTTATTTTCTTTTTTGTTCTTTCTAATAACAATCTCTCACTCTTTTCCACTTAATCTTTTTTGTCTTAGTTTCTTATATTTTGTATTGTATTTGTTTTTAAAATTTTGCTCTTTTTAGTGAAATTTCTTCAACATTTTTTTCACTTTCTTTTAAATTTTTCCATTTTATTGTTGTTTTTTACTTTATTTTTTCTTTGTAATAAAATTCTACACTCTTTGTTATTTTTTTTATTTTTGTCTTTGTTGTAATTATTTTTTTGGTTTATAGTAACAATCCCTCACTCTTATTTATTTTATTTTTTTGTCTTAATTTTTTATTATTTTTGTTGTAATTATTTTTTATTTATTTTATTTTTCTAGTAAAATCACTTCGTCCAAAACATCTACTACTTTTTTTATTTTTTATTTTTATCTTAATGTTTTTTGTTATTTTTTGTTGTAAAACTTCTCTACCGATTTTTATATCGCTTTCTTTCACTTTTATTTTTATTTTTATTTTTATTCTTTCTAGATAAATAACCAAGTCCTAAAACTAGTATTGGGAAACTTTCTTCACAATTATTAATCATTATAATTATCGAGAGTTACCGTATCACTCTTTTTTTTCTTTTGAATTTTTATTTTATACTGTAGATGACCTTTTTTCAACTTCCTAAGAAAAATTAGTTTTTTTTATAATAAAGTTTTTGTCACTTCACCTTTTTTGTTCTTTATAGTTATATTGGCAAATCCTAAATTTTGGTATACTATACTAATCGTCGTATATCAATATATAGTACACCAAGAATATGAGAATACCGTGATTCAACAGTAATCATTGTATACCAATGTGTAATATACCAAGAATATTTGGTATACCATTTAACATACTCAAATAAAGTGTACCATGATTCAACATTAATCATGGCATACTAGTATATAGTATACAAGAATATTGGGTATATTATTTAATATATTCAAACAAAGTAAACAATGATATTAGGTATATCATTTAATATGCTCAAATAAAGTATACCATTTAAATTATGGTATACGAATATATAGTATACGAAGAATATAGGGTATATCATTTAATGTACTAAAAGAAAAGATACCATGATTCAACAATAATCATGGTATACTTTGTAGAATACCAAAAATATTGGGTATATTATCTAACATACTCAAATAGAATATACTAGGATTCAAAACTAATCATGGTATAACTATAAGGCCCAGTAGAATTTCCTAACGATTTAAGACTTTATAGTGCAACAATGGTAACTGGGAATAACGTTTTTGAGTACTGAAGGAGACCTATGGGATAGAATCACATCATTTTGACATGAAAATACATGTAGAGAGTGTTTTGGAATATATTAAGGAGGTTTATAAGTGGGAAGAAGTTGTTTGGAACGAGTTAAAAATATTAAGTGGAAAAGATGTCTTATTTCGTACAACACCTGACTCTGAAAGGTTACAACTCTCATAAAATAAACATATTTTCCATGATTTTTGTGCCTAAAGTGTAGCGTTCGAGTCTAGTTTCAAACGCATCAAATAATTTATCATTTGAATATTGCTACAAGAAGTTATGATCAATTTACTAAAGTAAGGCAGGATGAACAAGGAAAGTTTTGCTAAGCCTTAAATCTTGCCTCGAGATCTTCACTTTTTATTGCGTACCACAGATAGCCACGAATAGGGGTGACATCATGTAATCATGGTTTAATACTTGTATGAAGGTTCGAAGGTGAATTCAAGTCTATCATAGCAAGGTATAGAAGAAGGGTAAGTTGAAAATCAAGAAATAGAGGATCGATGCAACGTGGGGCTTGTCTAAACTCATGCGTCACGCGGGTTTGAACGAGCCAAGACCCCGGCCTTTTCAGCAAATAGTGAAGTAAGGCCCCAGAACGCGAACTTGAACGATAGCTCATCCATGTCCGCGCGACGCGCGAGGATGGACGAGCTAGGCCTGAAACCTTTTTACATGGCATTTCGGTAGCTCACTCCTTCCATTCCTCTTGGAAGATTCTTAGAGATCCTCTCCACTCTCCCGAGACCCCCAACTCCTCATATCTTCAAGGTGAGTAATCCCCACTAGTTTGGTGCTTCATTCTATCAATTTCACACTAAAACTAACTCAATCTACCATGAAATCATTAGATTTTCAAGGAATCTTCCCAAGAGCTCAAGTGAGGACTTTACAAGATCTACTCTCAAAAGGTAATTCCATCTCCTTGGACTTACATGCATGGATTTATTATGAGTAAATGAGTACGAACTAAGTGTTGGAACTTATGGGATAGCGACTGAAAATCATAAGTTCTCAATTTAAGTTTATAGCCATTGTAGAGATTGAGTGATGGTTATTTGATGGAATTTGTTAGTTGGGTGTGGATGGTTGGATACGCATGTGATGTTGGAAGTTATAAACTACTTAAGGATGATAGTGGGATGAATGGTTGGTAAAAATGTGGTAGTTAGATGAGCAAATGCAATGGTTAAGAGTTGTAGAGATTTATGCCTACTAGGTATTTGATATAGTGCCTAGATGGTTAAAATTATAGAATTTTCTACTAATATTGGTCCCATTAGATTATGTTATTGTAGATTAAAGTTGTTTAGTATGATGGATCATTATAGTGTCATTAAGAGGCGAATTTGAGGTATGTTTGGCTAAGCTCCTTCCCATAGAATCGCTTTCTATGAAATTCTCCACGCGATCTTCCAAAATATGATTTATACATGCTTCCATGTCTTAGCTTCCAAACTGCTAGAAAATGATTATGGGTGACAAGTAATTATATGCTATCCATGTGTTCCTTCCTAAGTCACGACTTTTATGCCACAAAACTACATGATTGAAATGCTCTAAAAGATTGAATTACCAAATGCTCATGAAGATCTACACATTCCTTATTTGCTATTGCCATGCTCTTCTCTTTGAAAATGTTTCAACGTCTTTATGTTTCAAATGCACACGAATATGAAATTATGACCTTCTAATGTAAATGCGTCTCTATGATTTTCGATGGCTCAATGCATATGTTATGAAATGAAAAAAGCATTTGATGTGTCGCCATTGTGCCAAAAAAATGATGATTATCATGTAATTTAATGTGTCGCCATTGTGCCCAAAAAATAATGATTATCATGTATGGACAAAATTGCCAATGAAGTGAAAGATTTTATGAAAGGATAAGAGATGAGAATGATGATGTGTGTCCCAAGTGACAAATGAAAATGAAAAGGTTTTATGAAAAGCTTTTAATGAATTATTTTTAGAGTATTGTTATGTAATCGAGAAGGTATATGTAGAATAGGCCTTCCACTTCATCCACCCCACCCCTATACGGTGTGTGAAAATATTCCTTGAAATTGATGGAAGAAACATTTAGACTTACCATGAACATCAACGCACGAGTTAGAATACAATCTTATAGTCAAGCTCTATCGTACGATCTAGAGTGTTGAAGAAGGGTAGCATTCCTAAATGCCCAAGTAGCCTCCTACTTATGGATGAGGTCGACTTCACATCGATAAGAATGACTCTACTAGACAAGGCTCCTAGACATCCTAGGACATTTAAAACCGGAGGCTCTAATACCAAACTTGTCATGCCCCGACCTTGGGGAACGAGACCGGCGCTCAAACACCCTTCTGGTGGTCGAGCAAGCCTTCGTTCCATATCTTTCCCATGAGTTCCCATGCATGATTTAGAGG